CGCTCTTCTTAATGCACCCCAGGATCCCATTGGCCTTCTTGGCCACGAGGGCACACTGCTGCCTCATGGTCAACTTGTCGTTCACCATGACGAACAGGTCCTTCTCCGCAGAGCTGCTCTCCAGAAGGTCGGTCACCAGCCTGTACTGGTGTCTGGGGTTATTCCTCCCCAGGTGCAGCACCTTGCACTTGACCTTGTTGAATTGCATGAGGTTTTTCACCGCACAGTTGTCCAGTCTGTCCAGGTCCCTCTGGATGGCAGCACAGCCCTCTAGGGTGTCAGCTATTCCTCCCACCACAATTGTGATCTTAGGGAAGTATGAACTGCAGTAGTAACAGTGACATCAAGTCAGCACAGGCAATGCATGAGCATTCTGCAGCTTCTTTACGGAAAAAACTTTATGGAAAAATTGCAATCCAAGGCCTTATTCCCACAGTGAGCAGTCCTGCTCCATCCTCTGTATCCGTAAGACGTTCTCTGTTGGAGCATCACCCAAGGTAGATCCAAAGATCAACACAAAAATCTTCAAGAGCTTCCTTGCTCCCAGCTCAGCAACCGTCAGCCCACATTTCTCCCTGCTGTTCTCTTTCAGTGTCAACCTTATGATCTTTCCTTTGTAACACTATATCCAAAACTCTGTTTTCTGTGTGTTTGTTGTGTATAAATATACAATAAGAAGCTACTGCTGGGAGAAAATAAATCAGTATAGCACAAAGGGGGATGTTCTCTGCATCTAATTTTTCATCCAGCAGTCAAGGATTATCTTGGTGTTGAAAATTTCTGATAAAACATCTTTTTTTCAAATTGCAAGGTACTAAACAGTAGCTTCTTAATCTGAGGGTGAATCATTTTACACCTAGCTATGGTCACCTGGGGTTCTTTTGTTTGTTTGTTTGTTCTAAAGACCAAGAAATATGAGAACTTTTGAATGGGTTCCTTTTGAAATCTCAAAAAAAAAACTTTATTCATCTTTCACAATGAAAGAAACACAAAAATGTCCTTCCTTGTAGGCAATGCTGGGACGAGGAAATGGAGAATCATCAAGAAAGAAAGAGGAAGAGGAAGTTCAGAGCAGGCACAGACTGATCCCTGTTGGAAGAAAGATCTACGAGTTCTACAATGCTCCTATTGTTAAATTTTGGTTTTACACAGTAAGATATCTTTCCTGTTATGTTATTACTGATGGGACAAGCACTGGGACAGGGTCAGGACTGTCATGTGCATTTGACTTTGAAAACTGAAAGTCTTTATCTGTATAAAGATAAAGACTTTTCCATGAATATTTTCACAATCATCATTTGTGGAGATCAGCTAGCATTTGCAGACCTGTCTAAGAGTTTCATTCTACTGTTTCATTCTGGAATTTAATGTTTAAAATATGAACCACTATGTATGGTTTCTTTAACCACAGTAGTAAGCAGTAGTTTGCTGTCAGTAAGAGCTCCCAAGGAATTCACTGCAGAGCCCAGTGGGAAGCTGCTCTGAATCAGGATGTCAAGTTGGACAATAGCTGGTGAAAATAAAAAACAGATAAAGCACATTTTTTCTGGGAACATTTTTGCTTTGTTCTGCTCAGCTAATCTGCAGAATGTTACTCAGACAAAATGTTTGTGTAACTATCTGTTAAAATAAAGATACGAGTAGCAGCCAACATGGATTTTTCAGGGACAAATTATGTCAAGACAGTCTAATTTCCTACATTACAAAGAAACAGGCCTTGCAGGTGGGGAAGAAAGCAAATGATGTCTTATATTTTGACTTAGGTAAGACCGTGTTTCACTGATAAGTTAATAACTGCTATTTTTAGCAATTATTATGTGAATACAAAGCTTTTTTACAATTGTTCCTCAAGATCAGATATTAATTATTCACTATCAAGCTGGAAACAAGTATTAAAAAGGGTTCCACTAGGGTCTTTCCTACATCAGATATTGTCTGAGATTTTCATTCACAACTTGGAGGATAAAATAGAGGCTGGTTATTAAATTTTCAAATGGCATTAGAACATAGAAGGATGGGATGGAAATGTAAAACGAACAAACACAGAAAGTAATATTCTGTTTGACACTAATAAAAGCTTATCTGGAATATTATACCCCCAGCTTCCACATCATGCAACGAATGTCACCTGGTTTGAAAGACACAAAGAAGAATTAAAAAAAAAAGTGCATCTATAAGTCTATGTAACATCATTCTTATGGGGAAATATTTAAGGGTGTGAAGATATATTCTCTGGAAAAACAGTGAAGTTTAATAGTCTTCAAATATGCAAATATGCATAGGTAGATGCAAAGAGGAACAAAATTCTCCAAAACCTTGAACAAAACAGGACAAAAAGAAATGAATTAAACTGCAACAAGGCAGTTCTAAGCTGGACGTAACAAAACAGCTGCTAACAGGATAGCTCTAAGAAATACTGCCATAAGTTGTGTAAGGAGATGGTAGATTTTCAATTATTAGTGATTTCTAAATCTAACTTAACAAAATACATGCCCTGATTTGGCACTGATGAGTTGGCTGGAGAATTTCTTGTCATCCTTCCTCACTATATTTTCTATCATTTTGCTGAATGCAAAGCAACCCAGCTTCAGTAATCACAAAGAATGTACTTCTCTCTCTCCTTCTGCAGATGGTTTCTTAATGAAAACACTACCTTTCTGAGATGTAGACAATACATCTACAGACAGCAGGAACAACCCACATGAACAGAGACTAAATTGTGGTGGACAGCTTATGCTAGCAGTTTGGCAACTTGGAATTACTATTTGCTGAGCTATAGCCAATACATGTTAATCAGGCTGATGAATTTAGAAACTGCTCATCAGCAGTCTAGTATCATTATCAATTGAAAAATGTATTATACATAACCAGAAAAGTCCTTCCATTATAAGCAGAAAGAAGCATCCTGGCTCTCCCTGTTAGTTCAATCTGAAATGGGAGAGAGAGATCAATACTGCATTTCCATTTAGACCTGTTTCTACAGTTTTATGTCCTAAGGCAGGTCTCAATCAAGGTCACTAATTAAATCTGGATCTCAGCTATGCTGAGCTTCGAGAGCAAATTAAGAGGGATCCTGGCTGCACTGACTGGCCATTTGGATATATTGAGGAACTCCTGGAGAAAAAAGGGATTTTTTAGATGAGGGTTAAAATTGCACAGTCTATCTCACTTTTCCAAAGCACACAGATGGAAGCACTAATCATAGCTGAGTCAAAAGAAATCCCCCAAATTTTACTCTCCACAGTCTGCAGTGCAAGAAAGGTGTCCATAACTATTGTACAAAAATTAAAACCACTGGATTATTCTATATCCTCCTATCCTCTGTTATTCTGTATTTATATCCACCTTTGCCCTTAAAATACAGAAGAGTGGGCTAAATGCAGAGATGTTTAAGTAAGCAACATATTGGCTCATCAGAGCTGTCAAAATAAATAGCCTTTGCTCTCCAGCAAACTTTCACCTGTCACTCTGGACACTCATTAGTTTCAAAGATCTTTTACTTTGTTTTTTTTTTTTGTGCCTGTTGCTTGAAGGTCTCTTCTTACGAACTGCTGGAGAAGAAGGGGGGTTTCCCCTTTGCATTACTAAATTTAGGTTGAAGCACAAGGCCTACGGTGTAAGAGACCACATTTCTACTTATGGAGGGAACTGGACCCCTTTAAGAGCTATCTTCTAAGCATCACAGTGGCTTTACCATAAGTGGCTTTTCAGACCATTTTATGATCATTTAGTTACAGCAGGCAGTGAGGAGAGGGGAAGTCTTGCTGTTGAAGCATTCTCCTACTAGTAGGATTTCCAGGCTCACCCCTTGCTTTAATGAGTTTGAGTACTTTGTACAGGGTGGGACAGCAACCATAGGAGGACAGTCAGTGACACAGCCTTCCTGTGCTTGGTTTCTTCAGGTGCCACCTTCACGCATGGGAAGAGCAACCCCTGTCTCTCTGCCAAGCCATGCAAAAGCATAAAAATAGGGCATTCAGCTACATGTGATAGCGCTTTTGAAGAGGCTTGAGTGCTGCCTACACTGAGGTTTGACCATGCTATGGGAGCAGGATTTGCTCCTGGGAGGGCAGAGTTACAGACCCCAGGAAGGGTGTCACCAACGGCCTGAAGGGATCATCTCTTGAATGAAATGGACACAGCTTCAGCATCATTCAATTTCTAAATCAAGATGCCATCTCTTTTTTTATTTTTCCCAAGTGAAAATTTTCAGTAATTTTTAGCAAATTTGGACTGATAAAATCTCAAAATAAAAGAAAAAGTAAAGACTCCTAGTTACACTGAGTCTTATGATTTCTCTTATCTCAGTGTCCCTATTCTTTTGCCACAATAACCACAGAAGTTTGGAAAAGATTTATGAATCAAAATAAACGACTACAATTTGCTACTAATTAGATTTTAATGAAATCTAATAAACACATTCCAAGAGGAGCCGTAGGTGACTGTCACTTGGCTTTTTGCAGTATGGAAGAAGGTGCTCCTGGGGAGGCATATATCTAAATGGGGTTTCAGCCAGCTCACATGATGCCCTGGGTGCTGACATAAGTCAGTATTGCTCTGGACCTACATTGAATACATTGTCATGCACAAACTGAAAGACAAATGAGATCATTTCTTCCTCTATTTTAAATACTGATAACTATCAGTAAGTATAAGTAGTTTAAAAAATTCTCTTGGGTATACTTCAAACCCAGAACCAAAAAGAAAGTCAGAATCCAGTGGCTTTTATATAGTGAAAAAGTGTTTTTTCTGGCATAGAGAACAAGACCATAAATCCTATTCTGCAAGGTGCTGAACTCTGGAAAATTCTTACTGAAAAGTCCCAAGACCCTCTGCAATTGCAACATCTTGAGTCTGAAACTGAGTAAACAAATAAGTACAAGTAAAGTGCGTAAGAGTAAAACTTCTGTTTGAAATATAGATGAATCATTTCCCCAGCAGTGGAGGTTGTGATCAGAATGCATGTGCGTGAGATTGAATGATATTTTCTCTGATCTGAATTTGCTTAGGATGCATTTTCTTGTTGCACTGATGCTGCAAGTTGAAGCAATCGCAGTTAGATGCTAGGCACCACAAATCCCAGCCACAGCCATTCACTCCCGCTACAGGCCACAGGCCACAGGCCTCTGTGGACTCCTCAGGGCTCCTCTGCATTTGCAAATTTACTGACGCACTTTTTTTTTTTTTTTGATTGACCATTTTATTAGACTGGTTATGTAGAAAGAAAGGAAAAAGAAATAAAAAACACAAATAATCTCCATGTTTCAATATGTCAAAGATTAGGGCAGAAGGTGGATATACAGAGAAGGAGAAGCAAAATGATTGTACTTAAAAATGTGCAAAAAATAGAAGATGAAAATATATAGCTACTTGCAGCAGAAAGATGAATAGGAGTAGCAGCGCTTAAGGAAGGACACATGGTATAGGTTAAGTCTATACCTAACCAATACTGCACAGGGTAGAGAGATCATTAGCAACACCTAAGACTTTCTGGGCTTCAGACAAGCACTATGCAAAAAAAAAGGCATGAAAAGTCAAAATGAGCCCAAGTTACATGAATAAGGATAAAGAGCAGGAGGGGAAGTGTTAGAGAAGTAAAGGTTGTTAGAAGTGGGCTAGGGATAAATATGCACATAGGTGACTTAACTAGTCAGTGTGTGGTAGCTGGCATCGAGGTATGAGAGTTCCCACCACTGTGGGATGATACAGGTTTGTGGGGGAGTCAGATGTAGGTGGGCTAGAGGAGACTGAGATGTTTATTTGGCAGTTTCTGTGTGGGATTTAATGTGAGCTTTTTCATTGAATCCAGAGCACTGTCTGATTGCTCTTGTCTATTTAATTCTGGTTACACTGGAATTAAGAATATCAAACCATGCCTGAAAAACTGCCTGAGCTGCATAAATATAGTGACTATTGATATTCTTTTTGTTTCCTTACAGCTGGCATATATAGGGTACTTGATGCTGTTCAATTATATAGTCTTAGTGAAGATGGATCGCTGGCCCTCTACACAAGAATGGATCGTCATCTCCTACATTTTCACACTGGGAATAGAGAAGATGAGAGAGGTAAAATCAACCTAAGCAGAAGGGCAGAGTGAAAAAGGAAATAAATGTTTTTTCCATTTTAACATGTGGTTTTATTATTTTTCTCCAGGTATTGATGGATAGGCTTATCATAAAATTGCTTTTTTGTTGTTGTTGCAAAAAAAACAAAAAACAAAAACAAACAAAAAAAAAACAGATGGGTTGTTAAAAACACAGAGTTAAAAGATTTTATCTTCTTCCATTTTAAAAGCAGGAATCTTTCTCTTTCCTCCTCTGCATAAAACCCTCTCTCCCATGGAACTTCTCTGTTTGGATTTCTGCATGATGCAAGTTTAATAACATCCATAAGTATATGGTTGTTCTGACGTATCTTACAGCTTTGCCATATTCCCTGAAGTGTGGCCAGAGAATTAAAGTGCATTTTAGGGAGAAAGAAAGGGTATATGAAATGGAGATGGAGATAGGATGAAAGCTAAAAATACCGCATTTAACTCCTTCTCCCCAGATAGAGAGAATTCAAAATTTACAGCTGTTCTGTCTGTCCCAGCTATGCCAAAAAACTTTAAATAAAAACAGGCCTAACTGTGGGGAAATTCAGATCTATATCCAGTATTGCAACACATTTCTTATAGGCTTTCCCCCTTTATTTTTATCTTGAAGTTTCTCGCTGTGTCAAGTAATCGCCAGCATCTCTCTAAAGATGCTCACGGATACTGTACAAAAAGAGCATCTGAGGTGTCAGATCTTTGACCTCAGCTGAAGCAGCACACTCATACCCGTGGGCTGAATTTGTTGGCATCTCTGTGTGCATTCCCTGCAGGCCCCATGCGTGTTAATGCTTAGGAGGGTTAGAGCAAAAGCAGTCCTGAAGCTGCCAATAGGTGCCAATGCTCTGCAATAAGCCCTACGCTGTAAATGAACAGAGAAGAGGCAGTGAGAAAGGCAGTGATTGCATGTCCTGTTTTACTACCCGAATGGAAAATGGACATGGATGCAGGAGCCACACGAGGGCTCTGCAGCACTGATGGAGACGGATGGGTCTGGCGGTGGGAGGCGACTTGCAGGATCCGTGCCCAGGCCATTTCTATCTACTCGCTCAACTCAGAACTGCCCTTCCTGCAAAAGTTTATCAAATGCATTTGTGGGGATGGATCTCCAGGTGGATGCTGGGGGCTGCGCATAGAGCATGAGCCTAAAATTCACCCCGAGAATGAATTATAAGAAATTGTAAAGATTGCACTTGACTTTTTAAGGAACTGCATGAGTCTGCTCAAATGCTCTCCAGCTAAATATAGAAAACTAAAAACAAATAGCTTGTTAACTAGCTAAAAGATAGGAATTATTCATAGAAATCACTTGAGGAATAGTTTCAACAGTAATTGGAGAAAACAATCAGCTCTCCCAAATGATCTGGCAAATAGAACGATGATAAATTTATAAGGTAAGAATTATTACTCTTATGAATTGTCTTCCCAGCCGTGGAACTGAACTTACAAAAGCAGGTCCAAGCAGTGGCTAGTCTTTTCCTGATAAAATGATAAATCAGGTTCTTTATGGTAATTAAATATTTCTTGGCACTTTGATGCACATTTTAAAACACTTTATAGCATATTTATATGTGAATTCCCTGATGAAATATCTTTCCATGTTTCTATTCCAAAATGCTAACCAGAATCAGACAATTTGGAAAAGAAAAAGAAATTACCACATTTCTTCCAATTTCACAAGGATTTCAAGATAAGCAAGAAAATTTTCTTTTTCTCATTTTAAGAATCTTGCACATAGATACAGAGTAAGTTGCCTGAAATGGAAGTTCTCAAGAAAATCAGAGTGTACATATAGACAGGAGTCTACCATCAGCTTTGCTTTTGGCTTATATGGCATCTGTTTACTAGAGATTTATTTCAGACCTAAACTAAGACAACTCAGCTCTTTGTCTCTGCATGTGCTGTATCCTTCAGATATTGATGTCGGAACCTGGGAAACTGTTGCAGAAAGTGAAAGTCTGGCTCCAGGAGTACTGGAATGTCACCGATCTCATAGCGATTCTCCTCTTCTCCGTGGGGATGGTGCTCCGTCTGCAAGACCTGCCTCTCCGGAGCGATGGACGAGTGATATACTGTGTTAACATCATCTACTGGTATATACGGTTGCTAGACATCTTTGGAGTAAACAAGTACTTGGGACCATATGTCATGATGATTGGGAAAATGGTAAGAGAATATGGCATATTCCTTCTATGTGTTCTTGACTCCATATCTTTGGTTTGGCCAGTGAAATCACTGAATGTTCAGTGATTCATGTTTTCTCATAGATTAGCATTTTCGTTTAACCTAGAAATCAGTGCCTTACTGAACAAAATCTTCTGCATAGTTCCCCAGCAGTGGGGATCCCTCCATGCTTGGTACCTTTAGACCCTCAAAGAAAGTGTGCAGTAGTAGGAATGCTGTGGTCAAGATAATAACAGCTATGATCAAAATTCTGACCTTTCACATTTTGCCTGATGGCCACATGTTCTTTCAATGCCTTTTCCCAGGTGTCCTTATGAGGTTGGAAACCCACTTGCATATATGCAGCTTCTGTCCCTCAGTAACACTACATGCACAGAGTATGGCAGGATATAAATAGCCTAGATGGAAGGAAATGCATACAAAAGGACTGAGAGGTATTTACTGACAGATGTAGAGTTTGAGCTTCTTAGCTCTTTCTCTTTAGAGTTAAGGAGAAGTGTTGCATTAATTCACCATTTTACTTATAGAAGCTAAATAAAATGTCTGAGTTTAGAGAGGTGCCAGCATGTATATCTGGTATTTCAGTACGAGCTACTATATTACCTGTACATGTACTTAACTTACACTTTCATGCTTTGTCTTGTTATCCAACCTTTATTGTGTAAATCATGGCCACTTCATGCATTCTGAGCCTTAACATTTATTTTTGAAAATCAGATTTAATTGAGATATCATATAAGTAATACCAGATTAAATATAAGACTGGCATTCAATAAAAACAAGCAAGCTAAACACTGAGCTTTCCAAATACAAATTTAACTGTTGTCTGATTACTATTATAGTCTGATTGTTTTTGTCTGTGAACAATAATCAGTAAGTCCAAATAGCTTTTACCATGTAGTTTGCCTTGCCATGGTCCATAAACTAAAAAAACAGACACTCCCTTCCTCTTAATCACAGGAAAAGAGAATGGACTTGGATCCCTCCCTGATGTTATGATAGTCGCAACAAGCCCAGTAATTACAAGCAGGCAATCTCAAATCCATAAAATTGACATGCAAAATCCAGACTGCTGGTGTGAAGGGGACTTCAGCATATGAGCTTTCAACTTTAAGTTCTTGGCTGAGAATAACAAAAAAAGAACAGTTTACCTAAAACCAAAAATAAATAGAGGGAAAAAAGAAAGGCATTGTTAAATGTTTATTTCCTGCAGGCAGGATTTTGATGTCTTCATTTAAGGAAACCAGCAAGATGTTTATGGGAGGAATTTTTGCACAACTCCAGAGTATGGCAGAGAAAACACTCATCAATTCTTGCTATACGTTACTTGAAAGGACGTTACCAAGTTACAAGGGGAAGGACCATAAGACCAAAGAGAAACTACTGCATTACTATCTTTTCCTTCACTGTCCCACCTAGGCCACGTCCGTCCCTCAGGGGTGCTCAGTTGCCACTCAGGCTTTAAAAAACTTTTGAGAAAACAGCTACCTTCATATTTCGCTATGTTATTTACATATTCAAGATAAAAAGCTGTGATGTCAACAAAGGCAATCTGAAAAATGACGATAGGCAAATAATGAATACTGAAATAATGAAAACCAACAATAATCAAATTGACCGTGAATAAACCAAGTTCTGGTTGTTAGTGTTATGGAGGACTGATGGGAGCCCAGCCTCTACAGTAGTAGAAACTGTCACACACTTTTCTGTTGAGGTCAACACAAAAAGGAAATGGTTGAAAGCAGGAAATAGTATGATTTCTATCACTTTGGCATCCTCACGTGTTCAATGAATTAAGCCTCACTTCACTTCTGTGTTCTGTGGAAAACAAATTCAGGAAAATAACTAGCCACTGTGGACACCCACTTGGAGGAGTTGAATTTAGTTACCAGTGTACTCTGAAGGTGTAGGCATCTGTTAAAGGAGGGAAGCTATTTGTTTTATGCCTTCCTGTTGTCTGATTTTCATACCTCATCCAACTTTCTATGCATCCAGCAACTCTGACACATCCATTTTGCCCAAATTTGCCTCTCGCATCTGTTTTCTGGGTAGTTTATCCCACTGTGTAATGGCCACCCCATTTATCGGTTCATGATGATGCACAGCCTTCCCTGGGAGATGCACCTGCTTGCTCCAGGCTGCAGTGGGATCCTCTGTGTATTTTTGTGTAAATCACATTCTCCTGTAGCTCCTTGGGATGTCTCCTTTTGATTCTATGGTCTTGCAAGCACGTTACCATGCAGTAACTGAGCTGATTACACATATTTCTACAGAGTAAGCCCACCATAGCTCCTGGGTGCTTCAACAGGCCACATTTAATGCAATCTATAGCATTAACTGTCTTACAGGGCTTTTTCAGTTGTAGACTCAGGAGGCAAAAGATGAATCTCCCCAGCCTTCCAATGTTATGGGTCTCTCACTTCACCTGCGCCTATGTTGCATCCAACAAAACTGTTGTAGTGTTACCTTTGGGCCTTATAAGTAAATATTCCTGTGAAATTAAAGGAGGGGGAGGAATGGCCTCCTTTAACCTCCTTGTGAGATTTAAAGGCATTGAACTAAAGTAAAGAGATGAGGAGTTAGAAACATTATGGCTAGTAGCTTACTACTATCAGCTAATTTCAGCACCACACTGTGCTTATTATAATATGCTTTCTGATCTCTGCACGAGGGTAGAATTTACACTCTT